GGCGGAATTTCCTTGTTCAGCTCTGCCTAGGGACCGCTCGGCAGCTGATGGAACAAGAGAATTTTGCTGAAGCGCAGACCGTGATGCAGTTCACAAAAGACCACTTCGCTGATGTTGTTCTACCGAAAGAAGCAGTCATTGAGCAGCCAAAGGAAGAATCGAGGAAAGCACGGAGGGAACAGGAGAATCTGCGGTTGCTGGATCGCCTAGTCCTGACTTAATGATTCCTTCATTCCATCAATTGTAAATAGCCGCGACTGGTTCGCAGGTATTTTTGGGCGGGCAACCCGAAGATTCCATGATTACTTATGTTTGTGTATAGGCCTTATGGTAGCGCACCGGGGGTCGGGTCTGGGCGTGCGGGGGAACGCCTACAACTCGCGTCACATCACGCAAACACACGAACTCACGATCATAATGATCCGCAAACATGCGAAGACATGATGTAATAAATCTCACGATCGATTCATTTCCATGAGCTGATCTAAATAAGTCTCTTGTTGACTTTTGGTATCGCTAAAAACAAAATATCGAAATATGCCGTATCATCGTGATCTCATCGCCCCGCTCTATGCCTTGAGCTCACCACCGTCGGTCTCCTCTGGCCAGACATCGTAGCCGAAGGTGTCCTTCATGTTGACGAAACGAGTGTGTCGTCCCTTGGCGACCTCCTCGACGGCGTCAAAGTCGGCCTTGCTCAGCTCGGGAATAAGCCAGTTGCTCTCAATACGCTTAGGAGTGGAGCTCTTGGGCAGAACAACGTAGCCGCGCTGGAGACCCCAAGCAAGCAGAACTTGCGCGAGGTCGTAGCCGCTTCGCTCGGCAACTTCGTTGAGCTTGGGGTTGGTGCGGACCTTCTCGCCGGTGCTGGGGACCTGGTTCTGGGAGCCGAGCGGGGAGTAGGCGGCGACGAGAATGTCGTTTTCCTGGCAGTACTTGACGAGATCGGTGTTGGGGAGGAAGGGGTGGACTTCGATCTGGTTGATCATGGGCTTGACCTTGGCGATGCTGAGCAGCTTCTTCAGGCCGGGGATGGTCCAGTTGGAAACTCCGATGGCCTTGGCCTTGCCCGAGTTGTAAATCTCCTCCATGGCGCGCCATGTTGGCTCCGGGTTCTCGGTGAGGTCCTTCTTGATGATGTATTTGCCGTCGGCGCCCAGCTTGGGCATGTGGTTGTCGTCACTCTCCGCGGCAATGGGCCAGTGGACGAGGAACGCGTCAATGTAGTCGACGCCCAGGTTCTTCAGCGAAGACTCAAAACTCCACTTGACCTCCGCGGGCTCGTGCAGGTGGTTCCATACTTTTGTGACGATGAAAAGGTCCTCGCGCTTGACGTTGGTGTTTTCCTTGAGGAAGTCGCGGACGGCCTCGCCAACTTCGCCCTCGTTCTGGTAGAACCATGCGCAGTCGAGATGGCGGTAGCCGGTCTTGAGCGCGGTCATGACGGCGGCGTAGGTCTCGCCCGATGCGCCCTCGCTGGCGAAGGTGCCGAATCCGACGGCTGGCATGATGACGCCATTGGAAAGCTTGAACGTCTTCTCGTTCTGGAGGGGAGCCATATTTGCGGTGTTTGTAATTCTTGAAGTTTGAAAATGTGTCTTGAAAATGTAGAGTCAAGATGAAAGTGGTCAAGTAAGTTTTGAGATGATTTATTCAGCGGCAACAGCGCGTGCTGGGACTGTGAAGCTACATATATCCAGCGTAACCTTGGTTGGTCTGAAATCTCTTCGCTCTTTCATCATCGCCCATCTGCTCGGACAGTCCCCAACCACGCTGCCGGCCGTGACCTCAGACCGAGAGATTCCGATCGCAGAAGCATCTCGCAGGCATCGGTCCCATTGCGAAAAAACTCCATAATAGTCCCATCCAACAGTTTCACGTAGACCCTCAGAGTAGGCCGTCAGCAGCAGCGATGACGTCGACGGTGGACTCAGGGTCCACAGCACGGGCCGAGCGCTGCCATTTTGATTGCTGGCGCGGAAGTTTTGCCGACCTGAGCTTCGTACAGGTGAAAATGTGGAACGATGTAGTCCCAATAGTCGTGCGGCTCTGCCGTTGTCAGCCACTCGTTTAAGCAGATCACTAGCTGCCTTCGCCCTAATTCGGCGAGCCGCGGTTACCTCGCCCCACCCATCCTTCGTCACTCCCACATGCTGCTGCAAGTACCGCCGCGACTGTCTGCACGCTGCCTGCACCATCTACACTCTGCTACACTCGCTTCTACGGATTCCCACATGTCGCATACTTGGTGTATGCACGCCAACCGCCTTTGACAGGCGGTGTACCGTGCCTTATCTTCCGGCCGCGCTCTGCCTCCGGTCAAATGAGGCTCTGCGCTAAGCTTTCACGGCTTCGGCCAAGGGTATACAACGCGCATTCCAGGTGTTGTGGCGACTCACAGCACTACGCTGCTATCGGTCCCCAGTTTTCGGCGATAATACGGCGGTGACGGTATCCAGTTCTCATTCTCTGGTTCAGCAAACTTCTCCACTAGTGCTGCTATGCACGGCCACTACAGCAGTGTAATGATGTCGCGCTGTGGGTACAGAGGTACTTGTTGAACGCTCACAGTGCCAGAACGTGGTTGGTGTCACCGGCCTGAATCGGGATAGCGAAAAGCTCCTGCGAAACTTTCCAGAAGAGATTGGCGAATGATGATGGCATCTGGGGTTCATGGACGTCGCTGCCTGTCACTGTGACGAGTGATGTGATATATAGCCCCTCCCCCAGAGGACCCTGAGACTGCTCTTTCATCATCACAACTCCACTTCTTCAGCATCACATTCAGCTTCTGAGAAGACTGACACTACTACTTTCTTCACTCGATACCCCATTCTTATCCCAACTTCAACCACCATCATCATGTCTCCCTCCGCTGTCGAGAACGAGGCTCAGACTACCTCCAACAAGGCTCCCGAGCTTCCCATCCCAGCTGACCCTCAACAAGATGGCACCGACAACACCGTCGAGGTCCCAGCAACCCGAAGTGCCATGGCCGACACCACTGGCTACATGCACAACCTCTCCCTCTCTCCTTCCATGAAGGAGAGGAGAGGATCCCGCAACTCCTTCGGTACCTCACTGCCCATCCCCCGTTCTAAGAGGCAGTCGAGGCTCTCGTCCGTTCACTACCCCGATGGCCGTGGTGCCGCTGTCCGCCCTGGCATGCCCCCGATCCAGCCATCTCGCGACATCATCGCTGCCCAGCTTCAAGATCTCGCTGGCGAGAAGGTCCGCGCCGCCAAGGACATGGCTTTCGTCTTCGACATTGACGGTGTCCTCGTCCACGGTGACCGTCTGATCCCCGAGGGACAGCGCGTCCTCGAGATCCTGAACGGAGACAACGAGCTCGGCATCAAGATCCCCCACATCTTCCTTACCAACGGTTCCGGTAAGCCCGAGCAGGCTCGTGTCGACCAGCTGTCCAAGATCCTCCACAACCCCATCTCGACCGAGCAGTTCATCCAGTCGCACACTCCCATGCGTGCTTTGGCCGAATACTACAAGACCGTCCTCGTTGTCGGTGGTGAGGGCTACAAGTGCCGTGAGGTTGCCGAGCAATACGGCTTCCAGGACATTGTCGTCCCCAACGACATCATCGCCTGGGACCCCACCATCGCCCCCTATCGTGTCTTCACCGACGAGGAGCGCAAGACTTCCCGCCCCCGCGACTTCAGCAAGGTCAACATTGAAGCCATCATGGTCTTCTCCGACAGCCGTGACTACGCCACCGACATCCAGATCATCATGGACCTCCTCCAGTCCGAGAACGGCAAGTTCGGAACCCGCGCCAAGGACCCCGTCTCCCAGCGCATCCCCATCTACTTCTCCCAGGGCGACATGCTGTGCCCCACCGAGCACCCCTTCCCCCGCATGTCCCAGGGTGCCTTCCGCATTGGTCTCGAGGCCATGTACAAGTCGCTCACCGGCGTCGAACTCGAGCGTGTCGTCTACGGCAAGCCCGAACTGGCTACCTACAAGTACGCCGACGAGGTCATCGCCTCTTGGATGGAGACCATCCACAACGACGAGAAGCTGCCCGCCAACATCTACATGATTGGTGACAACCCGGCTTCCGACATCGTCGGTGGTAACATGTACGGCTGGAACACTTGCCTTGTCCGCACTGGTGTCTTCCAGGGCGGCGACAACGACGAGCAGAACCCTGCTTCCTTCGGTGTCTTCAAGAACGTCTTCGAGGCTGTTACCACCGCTATGAAGAAGGAGCTCGGCGAGGACTTCAAGTTCAAGTTTGACGACAAGATGAACCCTGTCAACCTTGAGGGTGGCCAGTCTGCCATTGCTTAAGTGGGTTGATGGATTAACGACGATGCAGCAGAGGGTGTTGTAGTCGTCTGTTTGTAAATAAGCATTTTCCTGGCGTTTCTTCTTCTTTTTTTCGGGATTATATCCTTGCATAGCGCCGCTTGCAAATCACCTTTATAGATCAAACGAGTTTACTATACAACTGGGTCTACGGATTCTGGGTTTTCGGTTTCTTATATAGATTACGATGAATTTTAAAAGTCTTCTACCTCTTACACAATCTTCACATCTCCTGCTTCTCATGTGTCGAACTTGCTGCTCTCCAGTACAGTCTTCCGTCAATTAGGTAACGATGATCGCTCTTATCGAGCCAAGTCTGTCTTGACTGGTGAGCTCATATCTGCTTAACACCTCATACCCGAAGAGAAGACTACTCATCATCCTCATCCCCAAACCCTACCAACGCCCTCCTCAGTCTGACCTCCCTCCCCACCCCATCAACTTCCCACGTAGCCTTACATTCATACCGCCCCTCAAGCCTAATCCAAACGTCCCTCAACAGGTACCTCGCCAGCGTCCTACTCTGATACAGCACAAACTTCTCATTCGTAGGACTGATCTCGTCTTCTTTCTCTACCTCTTTCTTCTGCGGACGAGGACTAGATAGGATAATCTTGCGGGGTGACGTAGCGGGCTGAGAAGATGACTCAGATGATAGTTGGAGACATAGGTCTTCAGTCCCAATAGGTACAAAAGTCTCCCAAGCTGGTACGCCATCAACGATCGGAGTCGAGCCTGCTACAGGTGAAGCATAAGTGTCGTACCATAGACCTGTTGCGCCGATCATGGCTTTGACGTAGAGGGTCCAGGAGAGTGAGAAGCCGAGGTTGCGGTAGGAGCCTGCCTGTTGTATTTGTTAGTCGTGTCCTTATTCTCGTCGTAGTCGTGGTTGTTAGGGCTTTGTTATGTCGGATGTGCGGGTAGGACTTACGATGACAGTATTGCCCTTCCTCCTGACCACAAAAATACTCCCTGCTTTGTTCCTCTCCACCTCTCGTCTATACACAAACTCCTCCACCCGCGGGTCTAGAAACGCTTCTATACACTCCTTGTTCGTGTGACTGAGGATGGTAGCGATGGCGTCGCTGAGACGCGGGTACGCGGCTCCGACCAGCGTGTCTTGAGTGTTGAAGTAAGCGTCTAGGTCGATGACGTGGGGAGCGCGGACGGAATCTCTGCTCTGGTCGTGATGGAAGTACTGGGAGCCGGGCAGGAAGACAGAGGTCATGACTTTGTCGCAAATGTCGCCAGCAGGGCTGGAGTAGTATGTGTTTTGCAGTTCTTCCAGTCTATCTCGCAGGGCTTCTTCTTCGCGGAGGAGGGCATCGGAAGCGCGTTTTGTGGGGGAGGAGGGGATGAAGGAAGTCAGTGTGGCGCTGAAGCGGGACAGAGTGCTGGTGTTTATTGGCTTTTGAGGGCTGCACTGGCTGGGGTCTTTGAAGGTCGCTTTGAAAGTGGAGGAGATTTGAGTAGCGTCTAGCTCGGCCCATTCATCGTCGTCGGGCTCCCAGAGGGGTTTACCCTTGAATGGCGAGAGGTCGCGTAGACTGGTTGGCATGTTGTTAGCGATGTCAGTCTGGTATGCGCGAGGGCGTGCGGGGAGGTGCGGGCTAGAAGAGAAAGGCGAGTTGAGGGAGAGTGTCGAGCTACTAGGGGAGCTCTCGAAGTCTTCTTGAGCAAACAGTGGTGCGATCTCGGAGCCGTGCTTCATTTTCGCCTCTCCGACGTCGAGATCAGATGATGGAGGCGGTGACTTTGCGGCTTGCCTTGGTATCTGGTCCGCCCAACTGATTGTCCGAATGCGTCTTGAGGTAGGTCGCGGCGATGACATTTTCGGTGAACTCGGAGCGGTCTTGCTCATCTTGGAAGCCTTGTATTTTCGATGCTCAAAGTCGTTGCGTTTTGCACTGATGCTGTGTTCACTACGAGCGCGTAACAGCGCATTTCCCCCAGCGATTTTGGATGGCGAGCCAGAGTGAAAGATCGATGTCAGTCCAGGAAGCATGTTCATAGAACTTCCAACCACACAGTACGAGGAGCCTGACGATGACAGTCCAGTCGAGTCTACAGCTACTGACTGGTGGTCTTTAGCTCCATCTTCTCTACGGTCTGCCGTGCTACGACGAAACAGGGAGTTGAAGAAGCCTCCACTCTGACTATTGCTCAGCGAGCGCGGTACAGTTGTCCTGGAAGATGATCTCGAAAAACCGAAGAGGCCTGATCCGAAGATGGACTTTGGCGAGCTCGGAGGGGTTGCCGTCAATGTTGATGATTGCGGACTTCCAGGCACCTTAACGCGTGGGTATTCCAAGTCTAGCGGTTTGGGTGGTATCATGCAAGCCTGTGCTGTTACGGGTGGGGATGGTATAGGTGTGGTGGTCTTCGTGTTCTGTAACGTGGGTTGTACAGGAGCCTTCGGGCCTGACCTTACGAGTAGATCACGTAGCCTTTCTGCTGCGTCGCTATCCTGCATGACGGCGATCGAAGAGTACGGAGATAGCCAGAAGCTGAGCAAGTTGGTTGTGTTGCGGGTGGAGCGTTTGCTGTACTCGTAGGGACACGGGGAATGAGAAAGAGCAACAGTGAGAGTCAATGCTCAATTGGGCCTCCGTCACAAGAGCGACGGTAGGACGTAGAGGATTCACACTCGATTCAACCACGTCTCTTGCGACTCCAGTGAATGGCCTCACAGAAACGGCAGTCAAGGCAGTAGGGCATCACAGCAAGCTAGTACCGTTGCAGTGACGAGTGTATGCGAGACGGGAAGTGCTCTGACGTTTACTATAAAGATCACACAGCCGTGAGTATAGAGTTGCTCAATCTAATAACATGTAAGTATATGTTCGTAAAGCTGACAGATGGTTCCATCGACGTCGTTCCGTGATGTCGCGTATCATCTAAGTGGCTATCAGTTGAATCATAGCGAAAGTATGCGAATGGCTCGAGCGTCAGCAGGAACATAACCCGGCGGAACGCTCACACGACGTGCCTAGAACCAAGTTAGTCCTGATTCGACAACCCAAAGTCCTGAAAATCGCCGTCACATGTATCACAACCATCCACGCGATGCTCGTTGGGAGTTGGTAGATTTTCGATTCATTCAGGGAGAGAACCCAGACTCTTGATATGTCGTCGTAATCGTAGGTCTCCACAGATCCATCATCTCCATCCCCCTCCTTCGCAGCGCTGCAAGAGCAACTACCACGCCATCATATTGTCCATACTCGTGAAGTCCGTATAGATGCCCATAGCTTTCGCAAAGAACTCCGGTAACCGAATAGAAAATGCCGCTTTCCCTTTTCCCCCGAGAGTTTGCTTGCGCTTATCGCAGACGCCTGGCCTCACGCTCGGACTCGAGCAGGCAGAGAATGTCGTTCTCGCGGACTGTGATGTCTCCGTTAGTATGCGGGGGTCTCGTTCAGCAGGCAGGTAGAGCGTGCGTACCTGGGCCCTTGACGTTGCGGATGATGGAACGGGTCTGGTCGTTCATGAACTCGACGCGGCATTGGGTGACACCACCACGGGAGCCTGTTATTATCCGTCAGCCTGCCATTCTCTCACGTTGTGCATCCCCCAACTGTTGTATGCGCTCGTCTCGCAGAAAAGTTCGGGGTCTTCGGAAAGTTCGCGTACCGGTTCGGCCAAGGACACGGGTGACCTTGACGAGGTTGACGGGGGCCTTAGCAGAGTCCATTTTGTGCGGTTGTGAAGTTCGACGGGAGTCGGTCGTTCGGTGTGCGGAAGAGCTGGGTTGGGCGTTCGGAGATGGAGTTGTCGCTGGCGATGCGTGAGAGCTGGTGTGAACGGTGGGCAATTTTGCAAAGTGCGCTAGCTAGGCGAGCAGGGGTGTGGCGCGCTAGTGCCCCGTCCATTCACTTGAGCGTGCAGGCAACACCACCATCGACACCCAGAGCATCACGACTTGAGTAATTCATTCACAATCTTGGACAACTGGGGGCGTTATGAAAGAGCCATGATTTGTGGCGCGACTTCCAAACATTCGATCGTCGCAACACCAAGTGGCCACGCAATCATCACACACATCTCACAATGCACCAAGGACAGCAATACTCAACGACATTTTTCATTCCATCTATCTAGTAAAGAAGCGCCAAATCGCTCAGAGGGGTATAAAGCGCCTTTCAACGCCTTGGGAAGTACCCGACCCTCCGTAGCTTTTCCAGCCATGCCCACCCACGTCCGAACTAGTCATACCGAGGATCGGCTTCCATGTAAACAAGCTTGCAAAACCTCAAATCCCTGAATGAAGGTGTGGGGGGATCTGAAGCAAGCCATATCACCAGCTGATACCTACATAACCGCAAACCTTCTCCTCAGCGGCGGAGGCGTAAACTGCGAACCGGGCTTCCTCGTGGCCTTCACAACCTTCGTAACGGTATGCTTGACCGTGTCACAATCGACTTCGGTCTCGGTCGCAGTAGTAGTCGAAGTGAAGACGTTTGCAACCTTAGTAACAATGGAAGGCTCGGGGGCGACGGTGAAAGGCTGGGAGGTGACGATAGACGACTCATGAGCCGGACCATAGGTGAAAGGCTCAGGGGCCGCAGCACGGCGGCCGATCGGAGGAGTCTGCCATATATCATGGCAGTAGCCGAAGGAAGGGAGGCAGCCGGGGTTGCAGTGAGCGGCTGTGTCGCCGCAATAGCCGTAGGGACTGCAGCAGGGGCCTTTCGGAGAGCCGTTGCAGGTGAAGCCAGTTGTGCCGCCGCCTGTCAGAATGTGGTTAGTGATGTGTTCAGGATGAGGTAGGCGGGTGAAAGACTTACATTGACCATTGGGCGAGATGATCATGCCATTGGGAGCGATGACAGGAGGCTGGACGACAGGAGGCTGGACAAGCGGTGCAGGAATGGCCTGGTGAACGGAACCAGCAGTCTTTGGCTCCTTGCCAAAGAATGTCTGGACTCCTGGGCCGTCGGTACCTGTGATTGATCATCAGTAACTGTCCGAAACGTTGAAGGAGGCCAGTAAACTTACAAGTCTCGACAAAGATATCAGCACCAGCCCAGCACATGAGGCTTGGCTCATTCGCGAATCCGCCTGGGGAAACATAAGTGTTCACACACTTCTCCTCATTGCAGTACGCATGGGGACAGTCTTTCTTGTTGGGTACTGGGTTGATGTAGAGTTTCACCCCACCTCGAATCAGTGCTGAAAATACCGTTAGTCTACATGTCCTCTTTCCATTCAAGAGGAAATACATACGACAATACCTTGGGTTTGCCGGCCCAGCCTTCAAATCACAATCCACGGCACTAAGGTCATACCACATCTTCCCCTTGGATTCCTCAAGATTATACTCGACCTGAAGGATGCCTGCAGGCCCAGGGGTGTAGTAATCCAGATCTCTGATCTTCAACGAGAGACCGCCGCCAAATCTCTCCGTGTCGACCATGGGATGAATGACGGAGCCGCCGTTGCCGGGTACCATGCTGCGGAAGGAGTCGCCGCCATCGATGTGCGAGGCTGGGGGGCCGACGGCCCAGAAGTAGACGTTGTACGGGCAGTGGTTGATGAATTTGACGTATTTGGCTGACGTCCCGAGGAAGGTGACGCTCAGGAGCGTCGCGAGGATGAAGAGGGTAAACTTCATGGTTGGGATGTTTCGTGGATGAGATAGGGTGGGATGGAATGAGATAGGAGGCTCTGAGAAGAGCAAATTGGGAGCAAATCCCAATAAGCTTGAGGATGAACGAGATGAGAACTTTACAGGAAAGAGGAAAGGGACATGTGTGGTTTTATGGAAGAGCGATTCACCCTTGTTTTCTGGTCATCTCCTTCGTTGGGCCCTTCTCAGGGTCTCATGGTAATGAAGGGGCGTTGGGGGAGCATCCATTACGGCTTCACGAGGTGCTGGAGGTGTGTTGATCGGGTTTCTCCGGAGGGGTAGGAACGAGCACCACGTGCGTTCACTCTTGCTTGGGTATCGTATGGGGTCTCAGACACTTCGTGCTCGCAATCGAACAGACAGTTTCGAAGCTGACGACCTCATCTGTTGGAATGCTCTTCCTGAGTCTGGGATACAGTATCTCCAATCTTATTCTCCTCACGCAGGCAGAGGGCATGTTGCCGTCTGGGTGGTATTTTGGAAGTCGCGGTCGCGGAACAGACGCTGTTGTCGTTGGGACGATGTACTGGTAATGTGCATTCAACAGGGCTCGCTGGTAGTCCCTGGTACCAAACTACAAAGATCGCTTCAGCACAACGGGAAAACCCTCATGCAAGGAGGAAATCTGAACAGGTATACTGCAGTCTACGTTAACATAAAATCAGGCTTTTGTACAACCCTAAGAGCAATGTAGACTTTTGGGACAGTTTGTTCAAACCAACGCCATTTCAATTTTTTCGATGTCTTCCTATCTATTGGGTATCATGTGTTACTGCCAAAGCAATTTGAGGTGGCATCTCATACAAGGAAGAAACTAGACAGGCCTGAAGCCTACATTAGGACGATAATGAGCAAAAGAGAAGACCTAAGGTCAATGTAGACCTGGCGATATTTTTTCCCCTTCAATGGGATGAAGAAAACGTGCTTGCAATACTGAAAATCAAGCCCCAATTTCGTCGACTCCGTCGCAATGCCCTACCGTGTAAATGCATACTTGAACGAAAAGGATAAGACAGTACAAATATAGTAATAAATCAAGCTTGCGGAATCCTGGAGCGGTCGCCACCCTTGGCGATCCATTCCTCCTTGATGAGCTTGTCCTGTTCCAAGTGCATGAGCTTGTAGGCTGTGCGGATTGTGCCGTCGCTGACTTCGACAGCCAAACCAATCTCCTTTGGCGATTTGGGCTGACCCATGAGGTGGGAGACGAGGTAGAGACAGGCGCCAGCGATGGAGAGGGGGGAGCGTCCGGCTGCAACTCCGTAGTGGGCGACCTGATCCGCGCACTCTTCTGCGACCATCTGGACTTGGGTTCCGAGGGCGAGTTTGGCGCAGGCACGGGGCATAAGACTCGCGGCGCTGGTGGCTGTGGTACCTCCTTTCTGGTTGAGAAGGTTGACAGTGTCGATGACGGCACCGTTTCCTGCAACTGACGGCCCGTTATTCTGGGACTTTTGTATAAAGGCCTCGAGCACCTTGAACGTACGGCCAACTTCCTTTTTGCTCACGTTGGTCATCTTGAAGATCTCGCGGAAACTGCGCTGCTGGTCGTGCTTTCTGCAGGCTATGAAGATGCACCCGGCGATGATAGCGTCTTGCGATTTGCCCTTGAAGAGCTTTGCGTCGTCGGTCATCTTGAACAGCATCTTGGCCGTCTCAGCGGTCGGGCGGCTGATGTTCTGTGAATCGCAGAGCGCTGAGATCTGTCCATACGCGGCCTGCAGCGCCTTGTTGACCTTGTCGTGGTTGGTCTTGTTAAGCGCGCGGCTCAAGTCCCTAGACCTCATACCGCCGTCACCGAAACTGATCTCAGTCTGGAGCTGAGAGCCGTGTAGCAGGGGGTTCGCGGCGTCTCCGATACGAGAGGGATCGTCGTTTCCTTGATCTAGATACAAGGCGCAGTGTTAGCATGAGTGTCACTTGCATTTCTTCCACGCAGGCAAGTACTTGCCGTCGTTGGAAAAGGTGCGCCACTCGGAACGCGTGTCTATAGTCCTCTCCGCAAGTACGCGACCGCAAGAACCGCAAATGGTGTCGCCAGCGCTGAACTCTTCGACCAGATTGGGAGGGTTTTCTTTGCAGTCGGGGCAGATCATGGCAACGTTCAGGTCTTCCTGCCACTCGTCTTCTTTCACGAGTGTGGGTGCGGCCTCATACACCTCGCCAGGCGACAGCAGACGGCCATCGGGGGCGTACGACATCTTCGAGCAGTTGCGGACGAGCTATAGAGTGTATTTCGTTATCTAGCTATTACGCGCGGTCGACCGACACACTTGTAGGCTGCGTCCGGGCTGGAGCAGGATGAGCGAGTGCGGTGGTATGAGACAGGCGGCGAGACTGAAGGAAAGTCTGCGACGACAAACTTGTAGTTCAGCGCGCAGGCAGCCATTGCTGGGCTTGGCACGCCGCTAAGCCGTTTCGGGTGGCGGCTCAAGCTGCGGCGGTCCACGGTTTTTCCCCAACATCGACCTTCACTGTAGCTCCCATTGCCAGCTTCCCCACGTCACTACACCTACACAATGATCGCGCAATCCATCAGGGCCTCGGTACGCTCCTCCTGCTGGTGGAATCTGGACACGTACTGACCTGCCACAGCGCCAGGCGCTCGTCCGCGTTGCCCGGCAGCAACCTGCCTTTGTCGCTCGCCGCACTTTCATCACTCCCTCGGCCGTCCGATCAGGTGATTCATCCCGAACGCTTGAAGACGCGACAGTACTGACCCAATTGGTGCCGTAGCCGACCTAGTGCAGGACCTCTACCTCCGCGAGCTCAAGGCCTACAAGGTCCCCGAAGTCAAGGCATCCGATGCTGAGGCCCACGTCCAGAAGTTCACCGTCCCCAAGGCCCCCGCATCTCCCGAGGAGACCGACATTGCGAACGAGTTGAAGTCATACGAGACACAAGCAGTTGACGTTGAGGGCGCTCAGGGCGAGGACGACGCTGTGCTCCCACAAGAGGACTGGTTCGAGGAGGAGGACGAGAGCATTACCACCGCCGGTGCCACCCATTAGAAGAGCGTTGCTGGGTGAGGGAGATCATGTATCAAAACACTAGCGACTGCGTCAATACCATTGAGCGATGAAGCCAGCGGGAGCTCTGTTCGGGCATATGTGAATCACGTGATGTGACTATGACCTCGAGTTCAACGTGGGGGTACACGAGCAGATAAAGTTATGACTATCGATGCTAAGCTTAGTTGAGTGAGTGCTTTGGTTCGAAACCACGGTCTTTGTCCCAACAAGGTGAACTAAGCTGCTCGCGAATATGATTCTTTTTGACTCGTTGCGGACCGTGATCTACAAGTACATGAGACGTGGGAGTTCTCCAACTAGCCGCCTCAGGGTCTGGCATCCGTGCTCGTGCTGATGCTCTGGGAACTAAGAGGGGCTCGCAGCTGTTGAACTGTGTACTTTTTGTGCATGTGCATTGCTGTTTGAGAAGCAAGCAATCTACCACTTGGCGTACGTTCAGGAGAGGGGTGCTCGAGGGGTTAGGCATTGAGGGATTTGTGGGGTGCCAGGATCGTCGTGAGGTTCTGGCAGCAGCCCGATTGCTTTTACGTGCCAGGCTGTAACGAGAGACTGAATGTCGCATCTATGCCTACCTCAGAAGACATTCACACACGACGCGTCGCATTCTGACCGGCTTGATGCACGCTGTTCCGACAGGCATGCGCGGAATGATGATCGCTACACACATGCACACGCGACTGCAGCGACCGTGGCCCCTCAGATAAGCCGGGCTGCGCACTCAGCTGTGCACTACACAGTAATCGTCAGGCTGGCATGTCCCGTTCCGACAATGCTCACGGTTCGGAACTTCGGACAAAGCACAGGATACGCGTGGGTCAGAAGGAGCCTCGCAATTGGAGTCTGCCCCAGTAGCTGCAGGCACGGTCGCCTATCGCACCATCTGCATCTGCGGCTTTGCATACCGACGTCCTAGTGCCATGCGTGCCATGGACTTTTTTCGGTTGAGAGGTTTACCCTGAGGCACTAGCACCTGTCCACAGTAGTCAACCGTACCGGTCCTATACTGCAGAGCAGAAAGCAGTACGTCAAGATAAGTCATGAGAGTCGAGCCGTTATACGAGGCGGTAAGCTACTGGGGTCTGCGGTATGTCTAGGGACCGGCCAGGAGATTACGGCAGCGAGAGATTGCAGTGTTCACAGTTCACGTCGCGAAAAAACAAGTTGGTTCGCCGGGGGCCCACCGCGCAGCAGACGCATCTTGCCCCGACCGTGTCGCTGCATCAGATGCGCAGCACCGTCACACAGACAGGCATGCCAGCTGCGACGATCCGAAAGGCGTCATGCTGGCGGTGGGTGGCGGGCTAGAGCTCGTACTGCTCCCAGCGTGGAAATGTAAAGAAACGGCGCGGCGCGGGTCAGTAGACGAAAGGCAAATGATACCAAGAATACGCCCGTTTTTAATATAGAATTATTATCGCTCCGACGCGATCTGCGCAGGCGACGACCCCTGCTAGCCCCAGTTCGTCCGCTTGCGAAAGCGTCAAAGTAATAGCCCTCAACCTGCCCCCAGCGGCGTCAGTGAGCGCGGAATCTCTAACCCAAGGCCTGCCAGTCGCTACTGAACTTACTGCCCGATCCTGTCGCAGCAGATTCCACTCGCTTTGCCCTCCCCCGCGTCCTCTGAGCGGCTGCCGTTCGCTTCCGGTACCACAGCCTCACTTGTGACGTCTTCGCGCGCCCGGCTGGACTATACTGCACCTTTGCCCGTTCACTGCCTGCTGCACAACGGCCCGCCTGACAGCACAACGCCGCAACCGTCCCAATTCACCGCCATGAGCCCGTAAACTTTCTGGAACACGTCAAACTTTACGAATCCCCGGCTGTTTCCTGCTCCCTCGCCCACGTCCAACCCGCCCGTCGCCATGCCCATCGCCGTTGCTTCGGCTCCTCGCGGCCACTACTCCCTCGCGAATGCCATTCGAGGCAGGAGCAGAGCCGCCTCAGAGGTTGGCCCTGGTCCACAGCCCCCCAGCCACACGGAGCGCGCCCAGCTCCCCAAGGCCGCCTCGTACACGTACTTCCCCCAGGTCAAGGATCTGGACCACGAGCCCCCCGTGGTGGAGCTGAGGGGAGGCTCTGACGACGATGTCGAAACCGGCAAGAGCGAAGAGCGCACGTCTGAAAGCCACTCGGGTGGCTCGAGTCCTTCCTCAGAAGAGGCTCCCGAACTCCCTGGCGTGGAAATGCCGCAACTCAGGCCCAACAACCTCTCGCGTCGCTCCTCGCGCTTTCTCCCTTTCTCCAGCAGGAGCAGAGAGCCATCCGCTGAACGCAAGACCGACCGCAAGGCCGAACGTGGCCGGACCGACGCTGTGAAGCAATCAGACTCGCCCGCTGGCTCCCCTTCACGGTCCCTGACCAACCTGCGGAGGAAGTCGTGGATTGTGAAGGAGCAGCCGCGTGAGTCTCTTTCGCCGGTCAAGGAGAAGAAGCTCAAGAAGAAGAGTCTCGGCGACCAGACCCAGCCTACTACCGAGGCGGCCAAGCGGAAAACGCTCACGACCACAATCACGACTACAGACAGGATCTCGGAGGAGTCTGAAGCCCGGGACACTGTGAAGGAAGAGATTCAACAGCCCGTGCCAGTCGCCAAGAAGAACAAGCGTCTCAGCGGTCTCTTCGCCGCATCGAGCAGCGCTTCCAACTTGCCGTCCGTCCCGAAATCCTTCTCGACAGAAAAGCTTCCCCACTACCCGCAGAATCACAACCCCGTCAGCCCGACCCACATTGTTCCCCCACTACCACGCAACGTATCTGCAGAGAAGCTCAAGGGCATCAAGACGGAGCCCCGCAAGAAAGACGAGCTATGGACTGCCTTCAGGACCTTGGACGGGGATCTGCGCAAGTAAGACTCCCTCTTCCCACAGTGAATTCAGAGCTAACAGAAGACAGGTTCCAATCCAAGTCCAGCTCCCTCAAAGCGAACGTCGTCCGCACCGCCCTACTACCCTTCCTCCGACAGTATTCCTCACATCCCTCGAACCACAAGCTCAGGCCCGAAGACCTTGACCGGCGAGTGAACATCCTCAATGGATGGTGGACCGGCCTCCTGGAGCTCGTCGCAGGACGGAACAACCAGTCCATCTCTGGAACAGATCGTCCCGTCATTCTGGAGGGTATTGCTGCAGTCATGGAGAGGCCCGAATGGAGACTGTATCCGTCTCCGTTCTGTGCTCTTGCAGACCGTGTGGAGACACTGTCTGCATCTACGACCAGCTCCAACGCATCCGCCAACTCCGACTTCCTCGCCGAATCGGTCTATCACAACGTTCGAAACATCTTTACCCAGAACCTGCAATCTCAGATGGCTTTTGTCGTAGAAAAGATGTCATTGCGGAACGCCGCAGCTAGTCTGGTCACCTTTTGCGGAAAGACGTGCGCGTACGCCTTCTGCTTCTGTCCAGGCGTGGCAGACGTTCTAGTACGCCTGTGGGGTCCCTCTCTGGACATGATGAAGCGCGTCATGGAGGAATCTGGCGTTTCCAAGCTTGATCGCTTGGATGCTGTTTCTGATCGAGTTGTGGCTGGTTTCCCTCCCATGCTCCACTCGCTGAAGCTGCTTTCGCTCAACCGACTCCTGCGCCAATTACACAAGCCTGTGTTGCCCCCGCTTGCTATGGCGAACCTCGACTGGTACGGCCTTTGGACAAAGCGCTGGTCTGGTGCTGAGAGTGACCTTTTCTATGTTTTCGTCAAGCATTTCCATATCCTCGTCAGCGATTTCCTACCTGTCGAGCCCAGCAAAGCGGAGCGCATCTGCGTGCCAGGACTCATCATGGTGCATGCCCAGATTTTGGTCAACCTCGATGCGACCATCAACAGAAACGCCACTCCACAACAGCAGGAAGATCCATCGACCGCGGCAAACATCACCTTTGATGACGTCTTAGAACCCGATGCTTCTGCCTCGAGTATCGCCATCCCACCTGCGAATGCTACGAGAATGATGCAAGAGAATCGACTTATAATGCTAATTCGGGATTTCCTCTCTGAGCGAAACTCGCATCTACACATTGCCAGGCGCATGTTCGCTGACAGTTTCGCTCGTCTCCTACAAGCGCAGGCACGCAAGATCTCGATATACGACAACAGTGCCTGTTACACACTCTGTGACTTCCTCGAGGAGGCTCTCATCATCATGGTCCGATACGAACAGCATGACAGTGACC